TATATATATATATAGGCCTATATATATATTTGTAGGCTGATTGGCTTGATGTAAAGAAAATCTTGAAGGACACTAATCGTGTGCTGAACCTGAATAAGGTAGGGGGATACTTTTTTTTTTTAGTGCGGTCATTGGTGGCGCAACTTATTCTCAAATATCTCTATAACGGGAGATTCAGTGTCACGCATCCTTTGCACAGCAGTTTTTATCTTCACGTAATCATATTTTTCCACAACAAATGATGTCGATCAAAAAACAAACTCTTCTTTATAATTAGTGTATGTAAACTACTATAAATCTTCGACAAGCGGAGAATTGGAGTTTTCACTCACAGCACTTCCTATTCCCCACACACATTTTACATACGCTTAGGCCCTATGGCCTAGGATTACGTCACAGCTCACCAATGACTCTTTTTAGAAGCAAAACTTGTTAGCCTAGGCTACATGAAAATAATTTTATAGTCTAGGCCTAGGCCTAGATCTAGTGACCACTTTTTTGCACCAGGGTGCTTTGATTGTCGAAGCAGACTTTGTGCTGTTGAAGCCAGAGAGGTGAGCAGTGAGCAGAATAAGTCTGATTCCCTGAAAGGACTTCTCTGTTGACATCCACCCCCAGGCGCTCATATGACCTTATGCAGTTGCGAGCGCAATAAACCGTCTACTAATAACCCCCCCCCCCAAAAAAAAAAAAACAACAACAACAACCCAACAACAACAAACAAACAAACAAACAAAAAAACAACGAAATGTTCAAGGCAAGCTAGATCTAAAAAAAGAAAACAGTAGTTTAAAACAATCACCCAAATCTACATTAACAAAAATACCATAATGAAGTGATAGGCTGACTTTATGAAGTGACAGGCTGACTGGGAAGTGACAGGCTACTTTATGTAGTGATAGGCTGACTTTGTGAAGTGACAGGCTGACTTTAGGAAATGACAGGCTGACTTTATGAAGTGACAGGCTGACTTTGTGAAGTGACAGGCTGACTTTGATCAACACGCGTGCAGCGTCTCCTTCAAGCATCTTTGATTCATGAGACGTTTGCTCGTATGTAGGAGTTTTAACGTCACTGTTGACACAATTTAGACTATACAGGAGGTGGCCTTTGACCCTGCCAAGCAAGGACTACCCTGACAGAGAGAGAGATACATGTACAACTTACCGGCCAAGAGACCGAGATTCTCGCTAAAAATTCTCGCTACCAACCCCCGAATTTACTCGGGAATTAAGTGTAGATCTCCTGCGTACAATGATGAAGCCCGTAGCCGCTACAAAGGCCATTGGTCTTAAAATACATAATCTGGTAACTTGTTTTTAAAAAGCTACTAAAAACAAACACTATCCCTTTCTGTCCCGAGAACCAAACGACTTAGACCGAAACGGGTACCCCCCCCCAAAAA